AATGCTGGCTCGTGGACAGTTTCAGGATGCATTTTCCGCAATTGGTCCAAAGGATCTTCTCTCCTTGACAATGTGCCGCTGTTGCACGTTTTGCTGCTTCGAGAAAATTCTTGTTGCCTGCCGTCCTGCTGGCATGTCTTGGCCAAGACGGCCAGTTCATCCAGCATGCCAAGCTCACTTGAGAGGCCAAGAGCAGTTGGGTGGTGAATGCTGCAAAGCAGGTGATTCCAACCTAGAGTGTTGTGAACTGGGGCACAAGGGCATATATATCCCGGGCCAGTTTGGACAGCCTGGTTTGCACGACAGACTTCTCACGCATAAACGCGTCAACTTTGCATGCTGCCTGTTTTATCCCGCAGTCAAATGTCACTGCAGTGCTGGCACAGCCCGATGACGCAACCCTTCTTGCATCTAATGCTCAATAACAATGACATCGCCCTCTACTGCTGCCTCTTGTCATGTCGATGTCATCATAGCGCTGGCTGTGCAATACTTGTTTGTTGATACCTTGCAGTATCTGTGTAATTTAATGACCAGGAGTACTGTACCCTGCCTTGTGCCGTGATCGAGTCACAGCACAGACTGCCTTGCATTGAATGCAATGCCTGGCACAGTCAAACAAACCGCTCCGTGGATGTCCATGTCTCTTTGGGAACGGTTGCCGCTGGCACATGATTCATCTGTGCACAAGGCCTTTCGAGCCAAATGGCATGCATGGTGGCTTGGAGCTTGTGACCTCATGTGAAAAGTTGCAAACACGGCACGTGGCTGGGAGACGAGGCTCTGCAAGTTCCAGCAACGGATCAGTGCCAGTGGAGGCAGAGCTCGACCCTCAGAATTTCGGAAGCTTTGAAGTTTGAAGGAGGCGACCTTTGCTGGCCACACGGTGCTCTGATGTGCTCGAGGAGAAGCCCTGAACAATTGCTGACATCTGCCCGCTTGGCAGCAGACAGCGAAAGACTACGTCAGGCCTCGGCCAATGCACAAGAGCGACATGTACCTCATCACACAGCCTACTACTTGTGCGATGGCTTTTGTCATCTCATGCCAGGCCTTGGAATTTTGCACCGAGGGCCTTGACCTATTGTGGGGCGAGCCACCGTCTCAGAGATGGGAAGTGCTGGTTGCAGCAATTGATTGTGCCCGGATGTTCCTGGTGGGGCGTCTGGACTTTAAAAGGCTTCCCTTCCGCCTTTGTTTGGGCTGTTCGTGCAACTGACTGGCATCATGCGCTACGCAAAGGCTGTGTCTTTGCCCTGTGTCGGGCACCCGTTGCTTTTGCAAACGTCAGGTTGCATCATGTCGTTTGGCACCCCTGCGTTCCTAGGTTGGCTGAGCCTTGCATCTTGCTCAGAGTGATTCGGAGTGTTTTCGGACACGTCGTGACCAGAGCTAAGGCGCAGCTTCAAGAGCAAGCAGCTCCTCGCTTGCTCCCGCACCTCAGCTGACAAGCAGAGAGGATCTTAAAACTGTTGAACATACACAGCTATACGCTATAGTCTCAGGTTCCAGCAGCAGTCTGGCGACCTGCATGCCTCCCAGCCAGCCGTGGGGGCCAGGATGGCCAGCCGGACTTTACAATCCTGCGCTCCAGGGCGGCAGCGACAAAGTTTTCGTGCCGGATGAGGCTGTAAATACACTGCGTGGACCTTTGTTGTGTTTTCCCTGCCTTGCCTGCAGGTAGACTGCGTTCGTTTTCATGTTACGTGTTGCAAACACGCGATGTATTTTGAGGTCTGGGCTGTTGTGTTTGAGGGCAAGCGTGCCTGCCCCAGCGATCCCTTGAGCACCATTCCGCGGACGTTTGCTGCACAAGGCCCATGCACAGTTGCAGCAGTATGTGGAAGCTCTGTCTGATGCTGCGATCCCAGCTGCTTCTGTTGTGAACGCGGACGTCAGGGGCCATTGCACCTGCATAGACGTCTTATGATCTCACGCTTGAATTTAAACCAGGTTGCTTCAATTCTGGCGTTTGCGAGAAATCATGGCACGAGACTCTTGCCCCTGGTCTGAGGCAGATGAGCTAACGGGTATTCAACCAACATCTGCTGATGGTTGCCCAGCTGGAACTAGAGCAGCCGCTTTGTCGAAGCCAATGTGCCGTCTGAGACTGTGCTGAAGTCTGAACTCCTCCGTAAGTAAAGTCCAACAGTACTTTGTTGGTTACAGTGTGAAGTGTGAAGGCTACTACTGGCAGCTGGGCTCTCAGGACGAAGCCCTTGGAGTGCAGACATTGCTTCGCTAGGTCGCAACGTTTGCAGCGACGCAAGAAGCGCGCAAGAGTCGTGTGAGCCATCGAGAATCAAGGTCTGTCGCACTCCAAGGCGACGATGGACACTCGCAAAGGCCTGTCGGCCCATGTCCCACATGGCTTCTTGCAGGCATGGGTCGCGAGCACGAGGCGCTGGAGGCCCTAATGTCAGTTTCGGCCTCATTCCCATTCGGATGAGTGCTTTTGCCAGCTGACTTTATCCTGAGGCGCTCGAGTACGAGCCGCAGAATGCCTTCTACCAGCAGGTGTGGGTCCGTTACTGCAGTATGAAAGACCAGCCGTCAGTGTTGGGATGGCAGCAGGACAGGGTGTACAAAAAGAGCAGATTTGTGGCGTCAGCATATTGCCTTGTTTGTATGAAGCCCTTGGTAGGCTCGGGTTTGGTCCCCTGGTCCTTTGATTCTTTTTTTTTTCACTGGTCCTTTGGTGCCCCTCTGGTCGTCTCGTCCCCTTGTCCTCCGGTTCTTTTCTCGGAGCTGCAGTGGCCGCTTGGTTCTATGGTTCCCCGATGCGGTCTGTTCGTCTTTCTGAGACATGGCCATCCCTTTTTTTACTGAGGCGCTTGCTGCATCATCAACGGCAAAACAAGAATGGCAACTACAAAAAACATTGCAAGACCGGTATAGAAAGGACCAGCCACAGCGACAGCCGCAGACAAAATGCTGTAGACTGTGGAAAGTAAAACTAGTGTTTTTCACCGTTGTGTGAGCGCCTGATCCGATTATAGTTGACGTTTTCTAACCGTGGTGATTCCAATGAGGTACTGTTAAAAAATAGCTTTTACACCGTTACACCACGCACGAACACGATGCGCCGTCCACTATGCAGTTACTTGAGTTCCTAGCGCTGCTAAGCTCGAGCCTAGAACAATGCAGTTTGCTATTCTCCTGCATGCTTTGCTTTACAGTTGACGGTTGACTGTGAACTACACACGGTCCATTTGACCGAATCGTTGGCACGTGAGCCGTATGCGTTTCACCACAGAAGCCTGCGTCAGATACAGAACCTGCGTTCTTCATGTATCAGCCGAGCAAATACCAATGCTAAGCTGTTCGAACTTGCAACACAAGGGCGTAGACAGGTCAGCTACTAACCGGATTGAGCTCAGCCCTTAGACGCCGGTCGCAGAGGAGTAGGGCGACTCAGACCGCAATGGTTATCGGAAGTGGACGGGTTGATTTATGCTGGATATTTATGTGACTGTTCAAATGGTCGGAACGACTAATTTTCCGGCAAGCTCAGAATAGGGAAGAGTTCTAGGGTCTCCCATCCCAGCCAGAGTGCAGTTCAATCTGCTACGAATGCGCATAGGCTTTGAAAAAGTGTTCTGTTCGCGAGCCAGATGTGGAGTATGGTAGGTTCCGAGGTGAACGTGTCTGAGACTTTGGTAGCCTGACCAGCAGGGCGTGCAGAGAACTACAACGGACAACAAGGCCATAGATCTCAAAAGATGGGTAGCTGCACGTTTTGATGCTTCGATGCTGTCAGGACGAGGGTTGGATCCATGCTCACCGAAGATACACTACGGCGGTGTGGGGAACTACCCGCGGTTCGACTCACAAGTGAGTTCAAGTGAGTTTTCAAAAGCCCAAATGCCGTCTATCTGTGTGTCTGTGGGTGGTGTGTGCACACCTGAGCATGGTGACCGCTTGAGCCTTTTTCCTGACAGTGCTGACGTGAAGTCTCAGGCAAGGGTTCTTAAGTAGCTCAGTGTTGACGTGAAGTTTCAGGCAGTGGGGCAGCGAGCATTTCTGGATTGCGCTGCCTAACAAAGACCGTCCAGATTTGCTGTGATATGCAGAGGGGAGGGCTTCTTCACGTACCTGCAAGCGCGGCCAACCCAAAGTCTTTGTCTCGTCTGGTCCTGTCTGTCTTCCTTCGCATCAGTTCGTGCCGAGCCAAATTCAAAGTGTGTGTCGTTCTGGAATTCCCGGGCAAACGCCCAAGCCCGCGATGGCGGACGATAACGCAAACTCTGCACATACTGTACGGACTTCGATCTGTGTGCGCAGGTTTCTGTCAGAGGGTTAGGGATCAGGAAACGCGACTCAGGCAGGATTCAGGCAGCGAGTGCGAATTGGTTGTCTGCAAGTGATCTGCGTGAGCTGCAAGGGTTGTTCAGTTTTTCCTGTAGGTCTGAGGTATGAGACGGGCTTTCTGATGTGACTGTCTGATTGCGCTCAGATTTCAGTTCTCGAGATCCTGCAACTGGCTTCTTTCCCGTGTATAGGATGTTGTTCGACGCCAGCACGGGCCAGTGCATGCATGGGACCCTGCGCCCCCCAAGTGACCGCCTTTTCTGCTGCCGCGCCGCCGGCCACGCCGTACACACCGGTTCACTTTGCAGCGCCTTTTGCCGCTTTGCCCAGCAGCAGCGCACAAGAGTTGCGCAAGAAAAAGAAGATCCGTTCTTTTTCGAGCTCTGCCTCTGATGAGAGCCTCCACCAGCACCAGCACTCTGCAACGCAGGCTGCGCAAGCGTGAACGGGGAGAAGACCAAGACCTCCCGAAAGAAAAGCTAGCGCAGCCCACGACCCTCCGGCCAGAGTGCCCGGTCTCGCGACAGAGGTCGCCGCGCTCCCTCGCAGCATGAGCGGGAGCGTCCTTCCAAAACCGCTCTTCTGTGCATTATCGGTGGCCCCTGCGTATGGAGAGTATGTCCCCGGTCAGCCGTGATCACTACCGTGCCAGGACGCCACCGCGTGACACCAGCAACCGTCGTCCTCAG